GGCCGGTTGGCACTGAAAACAAATGCACATCACACTTTTCACGTTTTCGCCTGCATAAAATGACTTCCTGTCCTTTCTAAATAAAAGCATCACAGCACATCAACATGATGTTGCCACCACTTCTCTTTCTCAATCTGCTTTGCTTTGGTCTGTCAGAAAATTCAAATAAAATAACTTTATGTCTTGTAGTTGTTAGTCAACAAAAATATTCGGGCCGCTTCTTCAGAGCAGTTTGTGTTGTTATTGCAATAAATAATATGATGACAGCTGTCTTATTTCACAGAAAATTACAGAATTGGCAAGACCACCTGAGCAGATTTAACCAATTTTAATTGGTTTGCCGGTAACATTCACCTGGAGAAGAGGTGATGAGAAGAGATTGTGGTTTGCCGAGTAGCCTGCAGTCAGAAACTGGAGGTACAGGCTCCAAGATTTTATCCACACACACACACATAGTGCAGAGAGTCATTTCTGGTTATTACAACACCAGAATACAACAGTTTCGATGAGCGAATGACGAAAGAACATTTGGTTCCTGAGCATATCTTTCCTTGTTCTTGTTTTTTCCCCCCCACTATTCTCCCAACATGGAAGAAACACTAAAATCAAATTTGACACTTTTCCAGACTGTGTAGGAAAACCTGTGAGATGCAAACCATCAGAAGTGCTAAGAATTATTTTCTTCTGGTAACTTTCACTGTGTTAAGACTTCTCCCACGTCATATTTTCAACTTGAAAAATCTGACTACTGAGTACAAATTATTCAAATTGAAATTGGTCCCCAAGAGAAATTCTGCTTAGGGCTGACAGTGCATACACTGCATAGATCAACGTAAGAAAAGAACCATGACAGTTTACCATATGTGTGGTTAAACTTCGCTGTTCCTTCACATTTTAAGCATTTCTGCATGTGTAAAAGCAGTTTCCTAAATGATACTCCTAACTCTGTAGCCAACAGTCAGCAACTTCTGCTGTAACTGACAATTAATCTGGCTGATTCAGTGCTTTCTAGTAAACTTTATCCCAGCTTCTGCCTGACCTGTAGCCTGATAGCCTTGAGATCAAGCCTGTGCAGCATCCTGTGCTGTTTCTTGCATAAAGTACGTTTGTAGTGTTTTTTTCCCCTTCCTTTGGTAAAATAAGTCAAGCCTGTCCTCTTACCTATCAGACTTAAGGTTTGGAGGTGAGCGGCAGTGTTTTGTACACAGAACAATGACATAATGATTAACACACACTTTAAACGGTGTGGTGCAGACTTCAAGGAGCCAACGTTCATTTGTCACACTGTATTCGTCTTACTCCTTACCCCTGATTCATAGACGTGAAGGAAAACTAGCGTTTTTGTTGTGTGTGTTTTAAAATAACACCTTAAAATGTCATTTAGATTGTTACATTTGTTTTCCAATTTGCAAAAATTGTCGGTGAGGGCAGCTGAAACCAGCATCTATCCTGCTTGTGTCTCCATTGAAGGTGATGTTCAGCTCTTATTCCTTTGTAGATCTAACTTTTTGGATTAAAAATAAAATTTTTCTAATCATTTCTGTGACTTCTTGTTTACAACACACACTATCACATATGCCCTTCTCCTGACTGATATTTTGATTCTATCCATTGTATCCTCTGTGCAAACTTTAGTCAAAGTCTAAATGAAACAAAATGTCAGGAAAATCCTACTTGTCAGCTGAACATTACGTCAGATTGATCAGATTCACTTTAACTGATGGCTGGAGTGAACCCACGAAGACTAAGTGCCAAAACAGAATAGAAAGGCGCTGCATCAAAGTATAACCTTTGCCATTAGGTTTTCTTTTTTTCCCCTCCTTTGACAGATTTATTTGCATTTCAGATAAAATGTGACACATTAAAGATGGAAAGAGTTTAAATTATTTATCATTTTGTACTTGTACTTCCTCCAAATCTGTCACTGTAAAAGAGCGGATACATCTTTAGGACCCACGGCGTATCGTTGGTTGTAGCTGGACAAAGACATTACAGGATTTCACCACAGGAGGCCTGGCCCAGTGGATGGCTTTGTGCGTTAATCCAAATCTTCCTTATCTGCACCAGTCAGCACAGCCTGGTGTTTCCTTGAGCACCAGAACAAATCTTTCTTATGAATAACGCTCTCCTGCTTCTTCATGAATGGATTCGAATGGAACCGTGCTGCGCTGTTTGCTCATGCTTTGACTAAATCAGTTTCCATTCATTTAGTGAAATCATCCACCATACAGACCCCACAGCGGATCTGAAGTTAATGCTTTTATGGACAAACGTTTCATTTCTGTCTGGAATTTACTTTGTTTAAACCCTACATGACATGTAAACAAGGGATTGTGAAAGTAAACACCACTCGTACACTAAGATTGAGCACCAGCTGCAAAAAAAAAAAAAAAAAATAATGCTCCAGTTGCGTTTGGTGTGAAAAGACGGATGCATATTCTAATGTTAACTACAGTGAATGACTTGTGACCTTATGCAACAGTTTCTCTCCAAAAGGCACAGAATCAATGTTCTTCCACAGCCTTGACAATTGTGAAGACAAGAGAGCAACAGAGAGGATGAAGGATTATCCAAAGACACTGCAAGTAAAAGTAAAAGTTATTCTCTATCTGTACGTTCAAACTTATTAAAAACTAGAGAATAAGATGCATTTTGTTACTTTGTCAAAAGGGTAAAACTGCATTTTTAAAAATGAATAGCTCACATTAAAAGTTGGATTAAAGTTTTCAATACGAGTTACACTCCCGAAAAGGAAGATTCACTTATTTTAAGGTTGTTTTATACATCTTAATGGAGGATACCAGGAATTGTGTCCTGTACAATAGAGAGAGAGCAAGTTAAAGGTTCCCCAGTTCATTTTACAGCTGAGCTGAAATCTCATTGCCGTCGATAGGATTAGAAACATTTGTCCCTGGGCCATAGAGACAGGAGGCCTTCCCCCTCAAAGAGTCACGAAGGGCAAAATTTAAACCAACCTAACCAAGGGCCATATCTCTTCTGTACATTGAGGCCTGGAGCAAAAACGTGATTAGGAAAAAATTAAAAAATCTGGAACCGCAGGGCAAAGAGGTCAAAAGTATAAGTAGTTATGAAATCCAAACCATTTTCCTTTAATCCAGGGAACATGCCTCCGGGAAAGACGGAATAACGACACTGCTTGCAGGAATATCCATCACATTTTTCGCAATAAATTGGCTCTTGCGGTTATGGAAATTCACAAAAGCACATTGGATAGTTGCTATCAGAGGTAGGATATTTATGATTTGATGTTTCTTCTTTTGCATAAACATTACGTAACATTGAGATCTGCTTTTCTGCTAGCCAAGCCCAAACCCATACCAGCGAGGTTAAAATGATGTGCAGTTTTTCCACACAGCTCTGCTTTTCTTTTCACCGTTTCTTCATTAAATGGTACTACACCACTTTAAGAGCCGTCATCAGAGGAGACAGCTGCACATTTTTATTTGAAATATCCTTGGGACAGGAAAAGTAATTATTAGATTTATATAGCCTCACCTTGAGCCAAAAAAAGTAAAGTATTCTGAGATGGAGCTCATTGCCTCGGGTTATCTGAATATTTTCTTTAGACGTTCATAAATTACTGTTTCAGAATGTTTACGGTGATTAATCTGATTTTTATTTTGAGCTGTTGAAGCAACCTTTTGATTTGCATGTAAAATTTTATGAGTTCAAAATCATCACAGTTGTTATGAAGGTAATAAAAACAAAACGTGTTATAATGAATGTTTTTTTTATATATATACATACAATCAACCATGTTGAATTTTGTATTTATGAGCTGCTTATATGCATGGTGACAGATCAGACACCATACATTTCATGGATGATGAAAAATGTTTAACAAATGTTTCCTCACAGCTAGAATGATGATGGTTCAAGTTTCTGTTGCGTGTTCAGTCATTTTTAGTTTGCTTAAAGCACTGCTTTTTAAAAAATAGATATACTTTGAGTAAACAATATATATTTTTCTTATTTTGAGCACATAAAGTTTGATATCAAGATTGCAGCTTATTGTTATTTTAAACATACAAACAAAACATTTAAGTATTTATTCCAGTCAGTGTAAGTGAGTAGAGATAATATTTGTTAGACTTTCAGTTCGTGATTATGGGACACTATCCTGTATAAATCACACCTTTCAGTTTTCTCACTTTATCAAATCCTGTTTTACTGATAATTTATTAGGACAGAAATACAGATAAAATGTCAAATGCACTTGCCATATGTGTTAATAAATAAAGCAAAACTACATTTCTGGTTTTATAAAAACAGATATCTCCGGACTATTGTTTTAAAAAAATAATAATACCGTACACACAGGATCAGTTTCGGAAAGTATTCGTCCACATTGTTTTAAACATACGCACAGGGTCAGGGTTGCACAATGCTAACACTTTTCTCAGCCAATCAGAATCCTTCAAAACAACTAGGACTTCCTGTTGGGATTAAAATATGGCACCAAGTATGTGGATATTTTGGCACATTATTTGTTGCACACTATCACATGTGGGACCCCAAACCTCAGTTTCCCCGGATGTGTGTGGACGAAGCCTGAAACTCACTGGCATCTTTCTAGTTTTGTAAGCATTTTAAAAAACTTCTTTCTGCTTCTTATAAAATGTTGAATCATCATCTGGTCACCATGTATTTAGCTTTAGCTCTGAAGCTATCTATATAATAACAATTCAACTAACAGGTTTCTTCTTACTGGAAGCCACATTAATGTTTCGGAGAGGCTGAGCCAGAGTCCTGACTTGAAAGGTAGAAAATAATAAAAAAACAACAAAAAAAACTGGTCAACAATTAATTATAAGAAGAGGTAGATTGTTGTAAAGCCAATAAAACTTTTTTCCAGCTATTGTTTTTATTATTAATTTCAATATGCCAGTTTTCAATGAAATGCAGGTGACACGTAAAATGTTTTATAATTGTTCCGATTTCTTTGAAGAGACGCCTTTTGCCTTGCTGTCTAAACCAAATTCCTTGATGACAATTTTTCATATTTTGCCAGGCATTTGAATAATCTTGGACTTGATTTCACATTCCCACCATTCTGTTCTCCCTTTCCAGTGCAGTCGCTGAAGGGCAGTTAGAGCATGCAAATGTTCCCACCTTCACTAATGGTTCTTTGTGTACCCTGGGTGCAGAAAATACCAAACCAGTGCCTGTCACTCCTGTTTTCCATGAGTGGATCAAACAAGTCAAAATTCCACTTAGTTGACACGGCGATGATTTGCATATAAGAAAATAAATCCCGCCCACAGATAGGAATGAACCTGCACCTTGATGTTTGTGTTTTTAAATTTATGACAAACAGATGTGAATTAAGTCCAAGTATTTAATCTGTTACAGGTTTCTGAACAGTATTAACCTGTAAAGCTGCTGTTGAGGGGAAGAGGATTTAACAAGTCTGATAGTTTCATAGTGTGTCAATTTTTGAAAGACTAAGAACAAACATTATATAAGATTGACAGTAAAATGTGGACTGATTATCCCCCATTGGAATCGCTTTGTACTTCACACCTTCCTCAAGAACCGCTACCTTGGCAGAACGAGCTGTAGGCTGCAGCTTTGCTCTGCAGAGGGTTTGCACTGTAACACAAGAGTTTATTCTATCTGAAATTAATCCCCTGTCTCTCTCTGTCATTCTGCCTCACCCTCTGAGTCAGGACGAGGTTTGTTTAAGGTATAGTTATGAGCTGGGGCTGCTGAAATTCCTGGTTCATTGGGAGGATAAGAATCTACCTGTTGTGGCACAGCTCTGTTCGCTGCCTCAAATTATTCTCTACCTTCTCCACTCCTGAGGTTTAGTGTACAATTCAAGTTTAAGCAAAGTTCCCCATGGCCAGTATCTCAATATTTGCCGGGGATGTACCCCACATCTGGCTCCAGGTCAGATGTGGAGCCAGGTGTAGATCCTGTGGCAAACTGCACTGTTTTATGTCTGAACCAGTCCAGTGTGAAATGACACGTATTTCAAACCATCTGCGGTTTAAAATAGGTGGGATGAGGCCCCTCCCTGACAGGTACAAATTAGTCCACGGTTATAACAAAACCTAGATCAGACTAAACAAAGACTTTAAGACAACCTCTCAAGCGGATCCAAGCTAATATATGGTTGATGAAACACATCCCCCAAGGGTGGGCCGCACTGTAACCGAAAGGTAAAAGTACGACATGGTGAAGAGGTGAAATGACCAGCAGCCGCACTTTCTGCAAGACACAAAAACTAAAGCACGCAGACTGACTTTGTCTGTTGGATTATTTCTAGTGCTGCACCTGGAGTTTTGCATGTACTCCTTCACCCTTTGAGTCCCCAAATGATCTTGCTCGTGTTTTTTTTTTCTGTGCTTGTGTTCATTTGAATACTCAACAGTAACGTGAAACCAGATCACATTTATGTCAGCCTGTGCCATAGGCATGCGTGGAAAGCAGGGCAAGGCGCCCGCTCTTTGCCAGTGGCTATGGTCGCGGGTGTATCTTGTGTCCCATTTCAGACAGGTAACCATTCAGTGTAAAGAAAGACTGATGAAGGGGAGGAAAAGAGCGCTGGGAGCTGCCAGTGGCTGAACCTGGAGATCTTTGGGAACCTGTTGCAACAGGTTTTTCCTTCTGTATATCTTATGGCTGGACTAGCCTGGACGAGTGCCAGAAATACACACTCACTCATGTGCGCGCGCGCACACACACACACACACACACAGCAAGAGGATGATATTATGAGCTGCCAAAAACTGAAACCAACCCATCAACTATTTCCATACACATTTAGTCAGTCAATCTGATCAAAGTTGCTCAGTGTCAGGGTGAAGGCTTTGAGAGGAGCGCAGACCTGGAAGGAAAATGGACTAAGCAAAGACTGCAGGTCTGCTAGAAAAAATCTGACGCAAAAATAAAAACAGGAACACAGAGCAGCTGTTGAATTCACAAGCTAGGTGAGTTAATATGACTTTTAAGGCGTTTTTTTTTTTCTTTTACTTTGCTGATACAATACTAGATTGTTTTCACTGGAACTTTCTGTAAGCGGTGAATGTCTCACATCGAGGAACTTTAAATGGCAGGTTTGTGTCAACACAAATTCACCTATGTTTTTAAGTCTTTGGTCTGTGCTGAACATTAGCAGCAATTCATGTCTCCTGCCGGCAACAATGAATATAGCAGTTATTTTTAGATAATATTTGTGTGAAGCTTGTAGTGGTGACGGAGAGGAAATGTGCTGATGCCTCCACTGACTCTGACAGCTGCGTGATGACGTTTTCTCTCAACACCTCTTTGCACTTTTGCAGATTTTACCGACATCTTTCAAACCTGAGGATGAATATTTTCAAAGTTAGATTTTAGCTGCTTCCCAGTTAGTCATCCAGTTTGTTCTGCTCTCTCTGATTTTCCTGTGATTCTTATTTATTTATTTTTTTCACATTCAACACAAAACACTGAATCTAAGCAGCATCAGTTCATCCACATTGCCCTTTCCCTCCATCAGATGACTGATTCACGTGCAGCTTGTAGATCTGGCTTTCTATGTGTAACTACAAACAGTGAACATTGTTTCTCTTGAGCCAAACAAGAAGTAGACTTTAATTGTTTTTAAAAGACACAGATAAGAGAAGACAAGATAAAATTGAAGCAGCTGCGTTGAGTGAGTGAGTGCTGATTTATTTTCACTGTACATAAAAAGGTTTTGGCACAGATTTCAAACTCCAGAATAACACGGAAGATCACATTTTTAGATAATAAAAGAATATGGCCCTGGGTTGAAATTAAACTGACTTTCAGCAGAGTCTGTAGGAAAGAAAGACCAATTTGGAATAATTTGGTGCAGCCTGGGATCTTGCTGCATGTGTGAGTCTCTCTGGGTACTCTGGTTTCCTCCCACTGTCCAAAACCATGACTGCAAAGTAATTTGGTTTCTCTCAATGACCCTTGCACATGTGTGGGTGTGTGTGTACACATGGTTGTTTGTCCTATGTTGTCTTGTGATGATGGACTGGCGATGATGTCCAGCCTAATGACCACTGGAGGTTGATCTACACCCCAATATAGAGAATTGATGGATGGATTAATATACATGCATTTAATTCTGTATTATGGAATTAAATGTTAAATAAGCCAAATCAATTAGTTAGGCTAGTTTATTAGGGATTAGAACAAACTTAGAATCCAGAAAAACTCCTTTAGTAACTACTTTTTAGACTCAAATTCTTCCAACTAAGAAGAGGAATTAGATACTTACTTGCACTTATCTAGCAACAGGAATATTTAGGAATATTTAGTTTATCAACATTATTAGAATCTTTTCTTCTTTAGCTCTTTCATTTGGTTTGTTATTTTGTTCCTTTTAATTCTTGTAAAGCATTTTGAATTGCCTTGCTGCTGAAAATGTGCTATATACATAAAATGACCTTTAGTGAAATCAATGTTCAGTAAATTTTACAGCAACAAATCAAATATTAGTAGCTGATAGGAATTGAACAGAAAGTTCTGATTTTACATTTGCTGAATGTAGAAATGTGATCAATAACACTGAAAGAAAAAAAAAATCTTTCCACAATGTTTCTTTATGTTGGACATAATTTGTTTTTTCAGAAATGTAAAACATTAACGACTGAAATCCATCATCTTACAAAACAACACATTAAGATCCAGTTTATAGAGGAGAAAGTCATTAGCATGGGATTAAGGTGGCTTTAAAATACATCAACAGGTTAATAAGACTGTTGTCTACTTCGTGCTGTCAGACCAGTTTTGTTTCAGTGATTTCTCGATGCTGCACAGCAGGTGGTAAAAATCTATTAATCCTTTTTCAGAGACAGTATTTGTCGATTTCAAGTTTGAACGAAACATCTGCACAGTTAAGTGAATAAACAACAGGCAAAAAGCCCATTTTTGAAATTGCCCAAAAGTGTGATTATTTCAAATCTGCAAGCTCGCCATAATCAAGTCCAGATGCTTCTGATTGTGAATCTCACAGTTTCACCGCTGAAGACAATAATGTTATGGAAATAGCAACAAAACAGTTTAAGTTCCCTCTGGGAAGCATTGTAAACCTTTAGCCAAATAGCCACAGCTGACAATTGCTGCTCATTGACGAAGACGCCTGGGATTAGGAAGTTAAGTTCACTGGAAAGTTTGACTTTGGTATTTGTGCTGCAGAAGAAATATGATAGCTCTGATCGGAGCAAATGAGACTTGCTGAACAACTCGCCTGACGAGTTGCAGATTTAATTTTAAATGAAGAAAAAGAACAAGCCACAGATTATTATTATTATTATTTTATTTATTTCTGAGAGATTTTTACGAGGACTTTGCTTGCACAGCCTGAATCAGAGCAGTACGCCTCCAGCATCTCAACAACATGAAGATCTGGTATTTCTTCACAGTCCAACTTTGATGGTATCTTTTTGTAAATTATTGTCATGTTTCAGGTAAATTCTGCTTCAGTTAGCAGCAATCAGACAAATGATTATAAAAATAAAAGAATATGAGTAAATTTAAGTTTGAATAAAACATTAATGAGTAGGAGGTTATGTCAGTCTTCTTCATATGTGATATAACTGTGTAAACTAAGAAAAAATATGTTTTTCAAGCTTAGAGTAGCCAAAGGCTACAGAAAATAAACAACAACAAAACTATCAGTGTTGCATTTGCTTTTCTTGCTACTTTATCAAATTACATTCAGAGACCGTAACGTTTTAAATTATAAATATTCCATAGCTTCTGGTAATGAAAGAAAAATGATACTGAAACACGCCGCTCACGTCAAGAGTTGGTTAAAGTTATTCTGTGTCAGTAGATCACTGCTGCCCCTGACATGATGGATCCTTAGCGATGCTCCAGCATTCCTACCGGCTTAGTGCTGAGTTTGAAACACAGATAAATTAATGATTTGTTTTCGTTCATGATTAAAAGCGATCAGTCCATTGTTTTTTTGAAACATTAAACCTCATCACTAAAGCTTAAGCTCCCTGTCTGTATCTGAGAGCGTGTTGGCTCTGGCTGGTGGCAGCCTGTTCATCAAACAGATGAGAGGATTTGCTGCCACGGTGATGAAACAGACAATTGCTCAACTTTCTCCTCGACACTTAAGCCTCCTTTGATTCAAGCAGAGGGAGCTTTCATTTGCTACTTTCCTCTTCTTAAACACTCTGCGCACCTTGTCTGCCTCAGCACTGTGCAGCTTGACGTGACCTAATAGCCATCATGGTTTGCTGGCACTTTTAATGAGCTTGGTCCGGGGCGGGTTTGAGGTTACCTTTACTGGAAACGGGGGCCCACGTGTCGCGCGGGATCGTTTTACACTTCTTCGCACTCCGGCGGATGAATCCCTGACACATGTACGTTCACTGTGTGATGTATTATCTCTGAAAATGAGAGTAGCCACTTCTGAGGTCATGTTGACAGCAGGATTATGTCTGACAGGTTTAAAGCAGGGTAATGACTCAGGAGATACAATCTCAGAGGAACAGTGGACTCAGGTACCTTCTTAAAAACACAGATCGCTTCCTGCTAAGTGCTTTTTGCACCATGGATGTTTAATATCGTAAAAAAGCGTTCACCTACTTACAGATGTCTTCTTTTTTTTCCTACTTATATGTTTGTTTTTTTGGCAGTAGTGGCCTTTAAAGTTATTAAAGCCGGCACTGAGATGGCAGTAAAGTGGGTTGTGAGCAAGGGGAAGACATGATAAATGGGCCAGGACTTGTTATATGAGTCGCTCACTTTGGGTCCAAGGCCAAAATCACTGACCAAAAAAAAAGAAAAAGTAAAAAAAAAAAAAAAAAAAAAACTTGTGACATTTGATGAGTCCCAAAACTTTTAGGGAAATATCCTGTAGACTGATGAGACAAAAGTTGAACTTCTTGAAAGGAGCCTGACTTTCGTTAATCCAGCATTTCAGAAAAGAGACATCATCCACGGTGAAACATGGTGACGACATGAAGGTCTGCCTCAGGATCTGGACAACTTTCTCTAATTGATTGAGTCATAATTTTTGACCTGAGCTCAAGGTCAGTTTACAACCCTAAGCTCAAACACACGTAACCAAGACGATGATCCAAAGCTAGCCAGGTTTGTCTCTGAATAACTAAAAACAGCAAAACTAGTATTTCATTGGCATAGTCCAAAAATATGGACATATTTCCAATTGAAATGTTATGACAGCTCAATTGGACATCTCAGTTACAGCAATTATGGCGATGGATAAAAGGTTGTTGTTGGTTATACCTTTTTTTTGTAGAGAGCTAGGTTGGTTTGGATAACTTTTTTCTTTAAAGCTGAACTTAAAAAAAAACCCCAAAAGAAATCTTAAATGGGGTAAATCCTTCTTCACAAGATTGTACCTTAAGTCTTTTGTACAATTTAGTCAAGACAAATGAAAACATGAGGCAATAATTTTTAATCTTTAATCTTACCTCTGCATGCAAATCAAGCCGTTACTTTTGCCTTCTTTTGTCTCCACAGAAGCACATTTCACAGCAGGATGTCAAACTCCCCAAAGTTTTCCTTCCACAACAGCAGCAGGTCTCAGGCGTTAACTCTTGAGGTCGGCCTGCACACCTGTGAGCCCTGCAGGACGACCTGCCAGCAGATGGCGACCCGTCAGGTCTGTAGCTGCCATGTTTGTTTTAAAATGAGGGTTTGCTTTAAGAAAGAGCATTTTTAGATGTGTTAATTTGAGTACTTATGAGTCACCTGTCAAAATGGTCTCAGTTTGGAAAACCCCCCCAACAAAGAAAAAAAGAAAAAATGAATGTAAGTCAAAAGCTGTTATTCCTGTTATTAACAACAGTGATGAGATTTTCTGATTTATCCAACATGGCAAAACAACCAATATGATAATATTCCTTGCCATGTAAGGAAATGTGTCCTTTGTATTATTAGGATAATTCAATTAGTTTTTAAAAAAATGTAATGTTTCTTGTAAGTATGTTGTGGTTGTGAGACGGCTTTCTGCTGCACCCACTAGTACAAGTTCCCTGCGTTGTTGATGATCTGTGGTAGCAAAACTGAATCTAATCTTCTGGGGTTACCCACACATTTATTCTTTGGTATTTTTTAAAGTAGGCAATGTGGCTCAACACCCAGGGCGGCACAACCTAGGCCTTTTAGGGGAAAAACAAAAAATAAAATAAACCTTCATGTCTCTGTTGCATTTCAACAAGTTTTCTATTTGTCAATTGGGAAGGTTTTGTCTGCCTCTGTTGTGAACAGTGTGAGAAAATATTGCTACTTCTGCCCCTTTGGTAGCAGCCAATGGTGCCGAGGTTGGAGTCACATCATTTGATTTGTCTAAGTTAAAGGATAATTTCCTTGTTTTGGGGCTAATCTGATTTCCATTTGATGATTCTAAAAGTACTTGAACTGGAAAAATCAATGTGAAAACCACTGCCAACCCACATTTCAGCTCCTCCCCCGTCTGTTATTTAATTCAGGCAGTGGTTAAAATATTCCCCTTGGAAATGGGACACTCCTTTGTGACGGTAATATCAGCTCTCACTGATTCCTCGTCCTCATGAATGACCTAATATGCCTTTGTGTGTCATGTAAACAGATATCGGTCCTGAAGCATGCTCTATTTTATACATTAGTATTATTATTCTTACAAAAATATTACACCAAAGTTATACATATATTTTTATTTGTATTAATATATATATATACTTTTGCCACTTTTTTGCCTGATTCTTGAGAGGAACTGAAAAAGACACACACACAAACTGGATGCACTGTGGTTATTAAAAGCTTGTTTGGAAAATTGGAGCTTTCAGTTTGGAAAACTTGCAAAGTTTCATCACTGAAAACTGATTTAGAGAGTCGGAGTTTAGAGTTTTGCTGAAACTCAAACTTCAAAATCCAGTGACTGCTGCACTTGGTATCAGAGAGCTTGAATGAACAAAATAACCACTGACTTTTTTATAACCGTGACCAATTTATATGGTTGATATTTTGTTTAAAATCTTTGATTCAAGTCTTTGGTTAGTCAATAGCATTTTGGGATGAGCTCTTTGTTGCTACGCCAGTTCTACTATTTGGGTTTTCATTGTTATGATTTTGTTCAGTAACTTAATCTTTTGATGTACTGGGAAAAGTCAGAGATAAATTGGAGCAATGCAGAAAATAAAGGTGCACTGAACTAGATCCAAAACCCAAGAAGCTCCATCTTTTTATTTTGGATAAAAATGCCCTTAAATGATTATGTGTTCATACGTAACATTCTACAACCTGCATTTTGTACACAAAATCTGGGTCATAGCAACAGTTTTAATAGTAAAATCACATCACATTAATATTTGACGTTGATTGCGTATGGAGAAGACTCCTGGAAAATATTGCAGTCATGGAAGGTCAAGTTGTTTCTGAGTTTCTGCCTGGCTTGTCTTATCAGAAGTTTCCAAGCTGAGATTGTACAGTTGTCAATGTGGAGGTAATGATTCCTTGAAGGCAAACTGAAGGTTAGCATGTTCAGCCTGTTCTCTTTGATTTATGTGCATGTGGAGAAGAAAATTCCTGGATTTGTTTCAGGAAATTCTCAGGAGGTCTCCTGGAATTGCTTTTGCTATTTAGTTCATAAATAAAATAGAAAAAAAAAAGTCTCTGAAATCTGGGTGTAGACTGTTGCAAGTACATTATGTTCCCCGTATCTTTTTTGACACTGCAGATTAAAGAGGGCGAGGACATCTGCTTCCCCCAGCCAGGGAGCAGCCACTCCGGCTTGAGGACTCCAGCTCTGAGCAGGAGACACAGCGCTGACGGGACCATCGGCTCAGATCGCGCCCCGGCTGACCGCTTCCACCCGTACCGTCGACAGTTCAGCGACGGGGCAGTGGACGCTTCAGATTGCCTCCTTCAGAGCTCTTCTTCCCTCAGCAGCCTGCAGGAAGTGAACATTCCCGACACTGGCTCATGCAGCAGTGCTGTTCAAACAACCTGGGGCGAATACAGCGACAACGTTCAGGTTCCTAAATTTACCACACTGTCTGTCAGTTCAATAACCGAGCTATCAAAAGCTTTTTGCTGCCAACAGGTGCATATTCTGTAGCACATATTAATGAACTTTAACCGGGGAAACATTTTTTCTCATTTGTCGTTACTCGTGGTTCCCTCAAACTTTTTGCACATTTTCAGAATCTGTACCCAGAGCTTCCTGCTGGGCCAGTGGAACCTTACGGCTCTCTGTCTCAAAGTTATCCATCCTACGACTCGATGAGCTCCATGCAGCAGGTAGCGCGCTTTAAATGACCGGTTGACAGCAGCACGCAATGCGGAAGTTCATCGTTTGTTGTGTGTGCGCTTCACAGGTTTCAGCTAAACTGTTTCCGGATGTCGATCAGTCAGACGCCACCAAATATCCCCTTCAGAGTCTCTCCATTCAGCCACATCAGGAGAGGTCAACGGAGGCCCTCTTCCCCAAACCCATTTACTCCTACAGGTAGCAGAGCATCACATCTCACTGCTGGGTATTTTTTGTTGTAAAGCACAGATGCATGTGGTTGGGCGGTATTAAACATAAATGCAACGTTGTGTCAAATGTAAGTATAATTTGAATGCCTGTTTCCTTTTAATTGCTGCAGCATCTTGATTTTTATGGCTTTGAAGAACAGCAAAACAGGAAGTCTGCCGGTCAGTGAGATCTACAGCTTCATGACTGAACACTTCCCATATTTTAAGGTATTGCACACACCGAGCATTACATGCCCATTGCATTTCATTTCACAGTTTAAGGGAATATAAGGATCATAAAATGTGAATGTGCAACATCTTTCAACATATGACTTTCACTAATGAACCCTTTTGCTACTTCTGGAAGTAAGTCATTTGTTTATTTTTTTAAACACATCTACTATTGCTGTGAGCATGTTGTTACTCTTTGTGTTTTGGAAACGGCGACTCGGAGTTGAATAGAGTCATTTTAGCTAATACGCCATGTGAGTGAACTGTCAAAGATTATTGACTTCACATTTCTTGATAGGGAACAATAGTTATTTAAACAAAAATAACTTTCAGATAATGTAGGGACTTATATTTTAAAAAGATATATGGTAAACACCGAAGCAGAAATAAGCAGTGCAACCAAAGTGCAGCATTTGATTGAGGAATCAAGAAAGCCGCCACAAAACTTGGACTTCCGTTTTATTTTATTGTATAAATATGTAATAACTAAAATGCACAGAGAACTGCTCCTGTTTCTGACCAAAACGTTTGTTCACATCAGCTTAATGCTTAGCTTTTCAACAGAAAAGAAAGAAGAACATTTGATTGCAAGATTTCAAAGATGAGGTCAGAGGCAAGAAGAAAAAAGTTACAGTAAAATTGGAAGCATTAGTAGAGAATCCATCCATCTATCCGTCCGTCCCTAGGTAATGGAGACACGTTTTTATGTTGTGCTATTAATACACAAAAACATGCCAAAAACAGAAGGTTTGGATAAACCCCAAAATAAATAATGGATGGAAAAGATAAGAATCTTAAAAATTAGAAGATTACTGATTTGCTTTCTTCTCTCTCTCTCTTTTTTTAAACTTCATGTAAGTTAAAAGGTAAAACGTGACCTCATAGAAGATGTTATTGATCATTTAATTGTTGGGTAACTAAATGTTTGCTCATCAACTTATAACACTATGGTGACCGACTAAATAAACGTAACATTTGTGCACAATTTGCCACTAATGGTTTGTCTAATTCTGAAGGGTTTGCTCTCAGGTTTGTCTGTAAAAGTTATTAACACACAAACACATAAACGCCTGCTGCCACAGGGTGTAACGTGAAGGAAGTAGCATGCCGATGTGAGTGAATTTTAAAACTGCTTCCTGTTGCATTAATATTAAACACGTTCGGCACCTGTGGGGTCAGAGCTCAGTTTGAACCCTGATTTTCAGATGAGTTGATACTCGGATCTGGAAAGAGTTCAAACGTTTTCCACCATACATATTAAAAAGGTGCCTTACACACAATTACTGAGCCCATCGGCTATGGTCTAGTGAAGCACACAGTTATCTATTTATTAAAAATTCTGCACTGATGGCTGATTTCCAAACAGGTGGCTAAAACCCGAGCTGCGGGGGTCAGAGGGTTCAGGGGGATAAATAAGATGAAACTTCAGTGAAAGCCATGATCACTGGATACATTTTTAAAATAAAAAAAAAAGCCTGCTTGATGTTGCCAAGTATGTTTCACTTTATGTTCGGCTCAGTAGGCACTTGTTATGGCACGCAGATTCAAATCAAAGAGAGGAGCAGATGTGGGCAAAAAATTAACCCTGCAGGGAGGAGATTGATGTCCCTGCATTAATTGGTGAATTGTTAAAAGTAACTAAAAAGTGTGCTTTTCCCGTAAGAGTTAAAGTCAATTTACTTCAAATATAAATCAATATAATGAACATATTTTCCCCCCTTTTTAAGATCATGCATTTTTAGCTAACAATGTAGCAGCGAGGAAACAGAAAGTGTGTCATCAGCCCTGAATCCAGGGAAGTCAGCAGGATTCTCTTTTCTAACAATTTCACCACAGCTAGAGAGAAACAGTACAAAAGGTTGGCACTAATGATTCACTTCAAATCCCAGGCCTCGAGTTCAAGACCATAAAGCGTAAGAATAATGATTTTCTAACGCATCGCTTCTCTGTCTCTGCTCAGAACGCCCCTGACGGTTGGAAAAACTCGGTAAGGCACAACCTTTCCCTGAACAAATGCTTTGAAAAGGTGGAGAACAAAAACGGCAACACTTCTCGTAAAGGCTGCCTTTGGGGTCTAAATCCGGCCAAGGTGGAGAAAATGCAGGAAGAGCTGCACAAATGGCGCCGCAAAGACCCCCAGACCATCCGCAGGAGCATGGCAAAGCCAGGTGAGGAAGAGGGACGGTAAAGAAGACAACCGAGCTTATGGATTTCGCCAGAACAAAGCATTTTCATTTAAATTCAACCTCTTTCAAAATCGTCTTGTCCTATCTTCTTTTACAGAAGACTTTGACCGTCTGTTGGGAGAGAAGCCAGACAGACTAAGACCTTTGCCGCCTTACCCAAGCACAAACAACACCACGTTAAAAAGAGTGGCCCCTACGTACAGCCCCGCCCCTTTACCTCTGAACCCCGCGCAGCCTCCACCGGCGTGTCGACCCGTTCCACAATCAGAGTACGCTCACATTCAGCCCAGCTACCTTCCCCACACGACGCTCCAACCCAGCAGCTCTTTTGCCCTGTACTCCCCCTGCGGACAGCAGCCTGCGGCCGGCGTCCCGTCACCCTCTGGGTGTCTGAACTCACCCATAGCTGGGAAAATGCCACCTGTTTACAGGGTTGGACTGCCGGGAGAGTACAACGTCGACCTGAGGGGAATGCACGAGTTACTTCAAGATGGAGACACCAGCTATGACATAGACACCCTCAACCCCAGTCTGACGGACCTGCAGCTGCAAGGTAAGCGTGTCGTATTACAGGATGCCAGGGTTTCCATGCCTGCAGAGCTTTATTTTTTTTTTTAGTCACAAACCACATGTGTGGAAGAACACAATCTACAATAAGTTTTTTGTGAGAAAGTACTTTGTAGAACCAACTTTTGCCACAATTACAGACGCAGATCCCACAGGGGATCTTTATGTCATCTTTGAGATTGAATAGCTCAAACTCAAACAGATTGTACGAACAGCAGTTATTATTTAAGCCACAAATGCTTAAATTTGACTTAGATGTGGACTTTGACTAGGCCGTTCTAAGACATGGTTTGAATTAGACCATCCCATGCTAGTGCCAGCTGTATATGTTAGCACTTTCTCCAGCTGGAAGGTGAACATCCACCCCAGTTCAATGTCTTCTGCAGCTTATGACAGGTTTTCTCCCAGTTTTGCTCTGTGTTTAGCTCCATCAATCACCGATGTCTAGATTCAACCCACATGTCTGATTTTATTGCTACTGCAGGAAACTTGTGGGAGGAGTTGAGGAAGGACAGCCTGGTGTCGGAGCCACATGGTCCAGCCACACACCTCTCCACCTCCTTTCCCCAGCAGGATCACCACCAACAGACCAGCTGCCTGCAGACTTTCAGCCCCACGTTCGAGGGGAATGCTGGACCCTGCTGTAAAGCAGCGTATGAGGACGAGGACCCAGACAGAAGCTGCTGGAATGGACTACATCCTGTCGGATATTCAGGACTGGAGAGTTTGGCTGGATATCTGACCTCCTGCACCACTTCCATTTCCCTGATGTAAACGGCTCTCCACCTCCTCTGAGACTTTGCAAACTAATAAACATTTCACATTTTATGCTTATAAACTTAATCAGCTTTAAAATGTTGTCAAATTGAGACATATCTGATGTACCTTTATTGAATGTGAGTCATATATTTGTTTGCAAAGTTGTTTATTTATTTACTTTGAGCAAAATGTGTTTCATTTCCCATGTATCTTGTTTTGTACTGTCACTTAAAGATTCAAAGCGTTTCATTTTGTTGCTATAGTTTCACCTCTTTAGTTGGCATTATAAGTTTTAACTGCAGGCAAATCTGTAAATTATCCCCTAACATATATTTGTTTGACTATTAAAGTGAAAATTAAAAAATTTTTATCAGTTCATAAATGAAAACATAAACACATACTCTTCTCAACGAGTTTATTTTTAGCATTCATCATCCCGTTTGATTAATCGTATGGAAGGTTTAATGTGCCTAAAATGTTAGATGCTGTTCAGTTTTCACAAAACTTAATTATTAAAAAAAGAGCAACCATTTTGCATTGATGTCTTATACTGGCATTCACTAAATATATTCAGCATTTAGTGAATGCGCTACACCACACCTCACATCAGGTGGCCTTGCCACCAAGAGGTTATTTGCAGATCGTACAAAAACAAATAAAAAAATAAATAAAGAAATGCAGAAGAAACAGAAGGGAAAAGTTATATGATGGTTGGGGTGAAGACGTTGGCAGTTTGTAGATATGTCAAGGTAAACATAGAGGATTTTAAAAGAAGCTATGGAGTAATTTGACAAAGTATTTAAAAACTAAACAATCCATGTGTTGGGCTCTATTTATGATTTGCTAAAACAGCCAGAGGGACTGCAGGCTTATAAAGAAGATCCACCCTGTTCAAGCCAAAATAAATGTTTTTAAACGTTATTGTATGAGTTGTACCTACTTGCAAACTACTCAGTTGGAATTGGCAACTACCTCCTAATGTCAACCCATCTATTATCTTCTAGAAAGGCCTTCCTCGAGGTTCAGGAGTGCGTTCATTGAACACTTTTATAGATGGGCAAACTCATTCATCCATGTCCTTGTTAATTTTGGTGTGTGCACCGTCATGTTGGAACAGAAACAGGAGAAGCCGAGCCCAACTCCTGACAAACAACCATGCACCAAAATCACCCTCGCCCTACATGTTACTTCTAACATGATGCAGGCAAAACGTCACCGCTCTCCAGGAGAAATCCTGACTGGTCGGTTGGATCGCCCATGGAAACGGTGCAGTAACGCTGTTTCAGCAGTAGATGGCAGCAAAACCTCCGCGTGGTTCTGCAGCTTTTGTTTCATACAGCAAGGTACTTCAGTCAAACATTTTAGTTTTCACTTAAATGTAAGTATTTAGATTTATTCAGAGAAAAACTGGTCGCTGTTCCTTTTACACTTTTGTGAAACTGTTACTGAAATGGAAATGTCACAACAACTTATTATCAGTGTATCTAAATTTTGTATTTTTCTGCTTTGAGACTATGAAAAGTTATTTCAGTCATTCCTCAAGTCAAGTCTTGAGATAAACGCATGTCAAGATTTTGTGAAAATCCCAGTTTTATTTCTTTGATAAAATTAAAGACAAAACTTTTACAATTTTCCATGTTGATTGAAAACATTTCTCAGCATCAAAGTAAACACAGTGTTCAGTGAGACAGAAAGTATCAGCTATCAGAACTGCTCTCTGATTTGTGTCTAGTTATACACAGTAGTGGTCTGAAGTTTACATACATTCACCGTCTGCATCAACGTCAAATTAATTTGGAGCTTTTAATGATTTATTTAAGCTGTTCTTTCACTAAATTCAACCAAATTCAAAGTTACAACGGAGTACGCTAATAAGAATTTATTCATTGTGACCAAAAAGTTAAACCAGCAAAGCTTATTTTTTGTCAGGAAGCATTCTTTACCTCCTTTCAGTTTGAATGTGTTCATTTCTTTCTGTCTACATGCCCAGTTCCTCTCTGTGGACAATAAATGCAAAACATCCAAACCAACAAACCAACCACCTCTGTTTTGTCAAGTTAAGACATTTCAGAGCTATTTAAATCTTTTTAGGTAATGCATGTACAGCCTTTATTTATGATTATGACTTTTTATTTCAGAGAAAATCTGTGACAAATTGAAATCTATACACCGAGTTCTTTCATTTTTTTTTTAATTTAGTTACTTGTGTATAAAGATTCAGCCCTAGAAAAAGAAAAGCTTAAACCAAAATTGATAAGTGTATGTTAGCCTCTGATGTTTCCTGGCTCTTAAAAATATTCCTGTCGTGGCGGCAAAGTCATCCTGAAGACAAGAATCGAATTGATTTCTCACAAAGACAAAGGATACAGTCATCTGGACAGCAACAAAACACAGGCGGAAGAGAGAGTCACTTAGATATGTCTGCTGATACGATTTTAAGTAACTACAAGAGTAAAAATGCCATGAAACTATAAACCGTAAATATACTTTTGATTATATCAAAATTTGCATCTTATTTCTGTATATTGTAGTTTTCCTACATGTAATCAGTTGTAACATTTAAAAAAAAAGTTTTTGCAAATAAAACAGTCTATTTTATCTAAACACTAGCAGAAGATATCAGTGGCTCCACTACCACGCACACATAGAAACTACATGGATGTTGTATGATTAAAAAAAAAGATCTAGGTTTATAATTTAGCTTGATATTGAAGAGAGCATGAGCAGTGCCTTGCAAAGGTATTCATAACATTTTTCAAAAAAATTTTTTGTATAATGTTATAGTTGAAAACTGGAGTAATGAGTAAAGTCTGCAGGTTTACTCATTACTCATTACTCCACACACGCACGCACGCACGCACGCACGCATGCACGCACGCACATGCGCACGCACAGAGACGGTGAGCAGATCCGGGCCCACAGTGAATCAGTTCAGGTGGCATTCATACAACAGAGCGACACAGAGTAGTGCATGTTTTTAAAGTGGGAGGGAAAGTATGCATGCTTTCATTTATTTATTTATTTTTTAATTTTTATAAATGAAAATCGGATCTCGTAGTGAAACATGGCGGCGGCAAAATCCCACTGTGGGGTGTTTTTCTTCAGCAGGGACAGAGAAGCTGGGCAGAGATGATGGGAAAATGGATGCAGATGAATACACATCAATCCGGGACGAAACATAAATATGAACGCATGTAGAAGAAAATGTATCTGTTAGAAAATGTTTAAACCCATGAAATTTTGCACTACTTTATGTTTTTCTGCCACATAAATTCCTTATAAAATACACCAAAGTCTGTGGTTTTAATGTGGTTTAAAAGTTTGTCTTATAGCCTAAACGTCTGCAAATGTTACAAGAAGGAGCTTGTTCCTGCTCAAGAGGCTGATAAAAACGTTTCCTGGTCAGACTGAATCGTTTGCATCATTCCACTGAGAAAGGGTTTTCCCTGTATTGCAAAAATACCGGAAAAACATTCTTAAACTGAGACAGAGATTGTATTTCTACAGCTGTAGGTTTTAAGTAAATTCAGACACCGGTTGATGAGGGTAATCCCTCATCATCCTTCCCTGGAGGAAGGAGGAAGTACTTTCACAGAATATGAGAGCATCTTGTGCTTCATTAGACATCTCAACTTTTACAACTAAAGAACCAGCGGAACAGCTTAAAGATATTTTAAAACCTGCAGCTAGATTTCTTGGCAATCACTGTAACGCTTGTTTTCTCTCTCTCTCTCTCTCTCTGCCTCTCTTTCTCTCTCTTCCTCTCTCTCTCTTTCTTCAGTCCATTTCATGTACTATTGTTGTTGCTCAATCCTATAGAAATGTAGTAAATTTGTAAAATGCCATAAAAAATGAACCGTGTTATTTCTTGGGCTTACATAGTGGGGTTTTGCTTAATTTCCAGCCACCAACTAACACAAAAATAAAACAAGAACAGAAAAAAAAAAAATGTCTTCTCTTTTCCCGATGAAGCTGAGCTCACACATGCGGACTGAAATCAGCGGCATGTTTGTGCTGCCCACACGCTTCCATCCGTGTACTCTGATGCGAACTGGCAGACTTTACTGCTCCTCCCGAAAAGGAATCTGATTGTCCAGACGGCTAAGTGCCTGAGTGGGAATGTGTGGAGCTAACAGGGGCGATAAATGAGTATCTAAAGCCAGTGATTTGTCCATCAGTTCATGTGTTTCTGGTCCTGAAAATGTCTCGAATCAGAGGAGCGGAGATGGTCTTCCTACGGCCCGCCACAGTAGGAATAATCTGCCTTGTTGTGCATCACCAGCTTGTTGTCCACAAAGTAGAAACTGTCGGATTGCGTCTCGTAAGGGTGCTGGATCATCTCACGCACTGAAGGGAGAGACACAGAGAGAAAAGCCACAGCATAATCAGGATTCTGTTACATTAAATCTGTTCTGTCTGTGTGAGCTGTTCTTTCAGTGCTGTCGCACGTTCATGCGTCCCCGTATTGTATGCCAGACACTCACTGGTTTCCTCGGACAACGTGGGGAACTCGTAAATGTGTTCGCAGGTGTTCTTGCTGCTGGGCATGCAGAAGCCGAACTCGAAGTCGAAGCTCTTTAGCAGCTTGTCGCGGAAGTAGTGTCTCTCGATCATACGGAAGTTGTTGATGGGGGTGTCTCCGACTGTGAACTCCACTCTGTTGGCGACACAAGGAGAAAATAGACTCACCGAATGTGCTGCTGCTTGTTGATGCTCTGAAAATGTCTGGGCCTTTTCTGTTTAGCAACTGGAAAGTGGAAGAAAGGGTTACGCTTCGACTACCCTTACGGTTAGTGTTCACACAGCTTTCAGGTCAAAACACATCAATAGTTTTAACAGTCCTAATCGTTCTTTGAACACAAAACTGACAAATTGCAGAAAAAGTTTCACAAACCTGCAGTTTGAGTACAAAGCTTCAAATATTCTATGGTGATGCACGCAGCAGGCAAAAGAAAACAATTTTGCATCTGCAGCAACACCAAAATGAAGTTTTTACTACAATTAGTGATGATTGTTATATTAGTATCTTTTTCTTGCAAGCAATGAATTTGTGCTATTTTTCTAACTTCCTATTGCAGCTAGCAGTGCTGCAGAGACACAGGTGTTCAAGTTCAGCGGTCGGATCCTTCGGAGGCTGATTTTGAAGGCAGATTATGTCACAGCGATGCAGCGAAGGCTGTTCAAATACTAACGGTCCTCTAAGTGTGACCCACAGCTGCCTGTTCCTTTTACCGGATTTGAAGGTCGGGTCCGATGTGTCCTTTGCAGCTTAACCTAATCCAAGATTCAATGTGTGGAGTGAATGGAAGATTTTTGTCCTTCTAACAATGACTGATGAGCTGGGAGAAAGAGTGGGAAGGGAGTACAGTTTTAAATGTAAGTAGGTTAAAATGCTCACTGCCATTAAACCACGCTTCGTGTGTGTAATAATAATGGGAATAGTGGCAAAAAGAGATAACAACAGTGTAATAACAGACCATAAATTATAATTTTGGCTGGAACTAATGGTCATCACAAATGTTTTTATTTTCTGACAAAAATGAAATAGAAATTATCATTATATGCACAGTGTAATATGAATTCGTATCTGTATGAGAAAGCTGCTTCATTGAATTCAAAACCTCAGTAACGTCGACAAACACCTTTGATGCAGTCTGTCTGCTACCGTCAGCTGAGCTGTTGTCACGGATCATCGTCAGTCTGTTGTCCCAAACTGAACCCGTCATGCCTCCTACCTCTGCAGCAGCAGCAGCAGGGACCACTGCATGTTTTCTGTTGCTTCAGTGCACTCGTTTGTTTTCTATGAAACCTTATCATGCACACCCTCCACATTCTGACTTACGTGGCTCCAACTTGTCGTAGTTGGAGGAAAGCTGGGGTGAACTGGTATCGAACAAATCGGCCGGTGTTGGGGTCACATTGCTTTAAACCGCCTGCACACAAACAGGTGAACATAAAAAAAGAAAACCATATTCGTAAGCTTGTAAAAAAAATGTATTTTTCTTCACTTTAAAGACGGCAGTTTCAGTCTCTGAGGCTTGGCTCTGACCTGGTGTTGGAGGTTTGGTGATCTCAAACAGGACTGTCCCTGTTTCCATGTCACGGATTTTAAACCGGGTGAAGTCAATCATGTGGACATTTTCCTCTGGAGCACAAAGGTAATCTAGAAAAAACAAAACATTAAACACACAGCCAAAACAACCAAATTTAAAATATGTGAAATGAAAGCAAACATAGACGTTTCTGAAGCCCTTCTGCCAGAACACGCGGACGGACATGTTAGCTGGTCTGAAGTTGGGCCACATTTTGGATGATGTTCTGAACAGCACTTCGTGATGATGTTGCTCACTAGTGTTCTCCTACAAACCTTCGAGGCACATTAAAAATGATTTGTAAAATTTTCAGCAATTAATCAAAAGAAATCTTTCCATGTCATCCTTAAAATAGCTGATTTTTGCATGTTTTAGTGGGTATTTTGATGATTTAGTTTCAGTGATGCATTCCAGGGTTTAAAAATCCATGCATCATTTTACTTCCTCCATTTTGAACTTCTTTCATCACAGAATATCCAAATCCAAGTTAACTACAAAAAGGTTTTAGGATGTAAAGGGACAAAATAGTTGACTATTTGTGCAAATGATGAATCCTTTAAAAAAAACACAGATTTTGTTCCACCCTAAATCAGGTGAAAGATTACTTCTCAACAACCCATCTTCACACTTTCAGGCTTTTTTTTGTGCTGATTTTCTCCAACTGCATCTAATGATTACATTCACTCTGCATGGTAGTATGCATGTGTGCGCGCATGCGTGTGTGTGTGTTGTGTGCGCGTGGTCATGTGTGAGACACTCCCTACCCAAAGGGCCTGGATTAGACCTAAGAGGCTTATTGTGTTTTATCATCACATGGACTGACTGGTTATAAAGTACTTGCATATATACACACACACACGTGCACACACACACAGACACACTATTTCTCTTAAAGTACGGAAAGCCAATTTTAGAAGTCTACTCTGCAGAAATATTTGTAGGTTTTGTCTTGCAGGTTTCTATTAACGTTCACAGTAAAAATATTAAAACATCTGCACTGTACAGTCAGACAGAGTCGTGCTCCAGCACCCTCTTGTATTTCTGAGGGTTAAGGAGCAGATGGGCAGCTCAGGCTTTAGCCACCCGCTCAGAGATATTTATAAACCTTTTCATAAAGTACAGTACACAACAGCTAACACCTTGTCTGAAAATATCCTCCTCGCAAAACATGACTATTTAGAGCCCGCCGTTTGATGTAATGGCCAGCATGGCAGAGCACTGAACACTGAAGAATAGCAGACAGCTGACAGGATGTGCCGAGCGTGAGTCTGAGAGAGTTCGTTGATTAAAGCTGAAATTACGCAAATTTCTTTGAAATCGAGTTTGTTTAGAAGAAGCAATATTATTCAGTCCTGAAGATTCGCTGAACATTGTTAATATTTTTTTTAGAGCTCCCTTTTAGTTTAGTTTAGTTTTTTTTTTTTTTTTTGCATACCATACATCACAAGACTCAATAGTAGAGTTCCCTTTAAACCTCTGGAAGGCCAAAAGGACCAAATTTAAATAAATACATACATTATATAATCATTAATTAAATGAACTATGAAATAGATCAATGATTATTTAAATGTATAAATAATTTGTTTAATAGTCATAAACTTAGGACAGTTAATTAAACTTGTGCTTAATTATTTCATGGTTCTTGTTCCTGCAGCTTTACCACGAAATAAGTTGCCCATCAAGTTACTGGGTCTGGCCTAACACTGATCTGTTGAGTTCCACTAGTTTGACCCTGTTGGGCCTCCGTATAAACATGAAAATGCAGGTCTTTTTATTTTTTTATTTTTTATTTTTATTTTTTTGAAAAAAGCCTAATAAAATACAGGACATCTTTTGTAGGTCATGAAACACTATTGAAATTGAAATAAAACATATTTTCATCATAATTGTTACCAAAAATAATTAAAACTTGACATTGGTTTCTGAAGTTGTTTGCTGTCACTATTCCACTGGCTAATTGGTCTTTTACACAGAACAGTACTGTTAGTTTCAACAAGCAAACTTTCATTATTCTGACTATAAACCAGCAACATTAAAGCAATGTCTTCAGTCTCGCTAGTACTGAAAATTATTTCAAAATCTCATCGCTACTAATAACAATTAAACTGCATAATTCATGATGGTAGCTAAGAGTCAGAATGTAGGTAGACCAGTAATTTGAGCGATTTGCTTGTTCCCTCAGCTCTTTCGGTAACACTTTATTTGAAGGGGGTGAATAAGACTGTCATGACACTTTCATAAACATGACATAACACCTGTCATGAACATGTCATAACACCTGTCATAAACATGACATAACACCTGTCATGAACATGAATAAGCCTTCATGAATATTTATGACTGTTGTCATAAAGCGTCATTCAGTAAATTATGACATTTTTAATACAAAGTTGACATTATTCAAAATGTCTTTGTTATGACAACTTGACATTAACCAGGAAATCATTACTGTTTAAACTTTACCTTTAATAACATAAAGTTACCTAATTTTTAAAGCACAATCAGTAATACTTTTATAACAAATTTATATCAGTAATGATTTCTTGGTTAATGTCAAGTTGCCATAACAGACATTTTGAATAATGTCAACTTTGTATTAAAAGTGTCATACTTTACCAAATGACACTTTATGACAGCAGTCATAAATATTCATGAAGGCTTATTCATGTTCATGACAGGTGTTATGTCATGTTTATGAAAGTGTCATGACCGTCTTATTCAACCCCCCTTCAAATAAAGTGTTACTGCTCTTTCTTACCAGAAAAATGACCAGATTATGGCAGATGAGGCTCCAAGTCAATCTGCCCATCTCCCACTTCATCCTACCATGATTCTTGAACAAGGCATGAAGATGCTTGGACGTCTCTGCTTAAGGTTCAGATGGAAACAATCCACCTTTTTCTAAACCAACAAATGCCCCTGAAAAGTTAGCTGTAAGTTAAAGAAGTGGTTGACGGGTTAAAAGCCACAGTGATTTCCCTGAGTCCGAGGTTTGATAATTGATTAGAGCCATATTTCCAGCATCCAGTAACTTTTCCCAGGGAGGGAACTAGACATTAAAAATGTTGCTTTAAATGAAGGGGAAAAGGACTATCTGAGTTAATAAATCATTTCATCACTATGTTTGATACTTCTTATATGTTAACCTAGTAAAAGACAAGAAAGAAAGAGAGATAAAGAAATGTAAAGTGACTGTATTGCTACTTTACTGACGAAGTAACAGTTTGTGGTAAAAAGTAAGTAAATAAAAGAGCATCAAACTAATAATATAGTAAAATCACAATATTTTCTAAAATTAGCAAGCCACTTTATTGCATCTTTCCCTGATGTTTTTCTGCTTTTGTTAAGAAATACTATACAGTTTTTTCTATATAGTAAATGGGACCGAAAAATTGTAAGTTTTTATTATTAAGTGTTTGCTTACACAAATTAACTTTATGGCTCTTAAAATATTAGGAAAAGATGGTCCTTTATAGACTGAACAATTCGGTATTTATTTTTTTTAGGAGAGCTCTAAATTAATAATTAATTTAGTTTGCAAACACATATACAAAGGACAAAATTACTCACTAACAAATGTGCATTTTCTAATTAAATGCATAACTAAAATTTTACCTATCCCAAAGATCTCTATCACTATATTAGGAGAAAGCTTATTATGCTATTCTTATCGCACTTTTGCACTAAATAATAATACATTTTGTTTTAATTCCTGTTTTTACACAAGGGAAAGGATAATGATGTTTATGTTATTGTTTTATGAATGTGTAGTTAACTCTTTTCTTGACATACTAAGCAAATATGATAAATTATAATTTCCTTGAACTGAAATTAATTCTGACTTTGGGCTTTTTTTTAATGTATGTGAGCACAGAGGGTTAAACAGATCTAAATAAACTGGATGAGATCAGATTTTATCATACTGCCTGAGGATGAAAAATATCATTCACCAAGTCTTTACAAAGAGGGCGCCATAAACAATTGGATGAACATATGAACACAACAGTTTATAGGCTGTATTTCATAAAATTCTTCTGCAGAGAAATCAGAGGTTGGCCTTTATACACTCAACATAATCTTGTGGATTTTATCTGGTACTAAATATCTTATTTCCTCTGAAAATCATTCATGTAAGGGTAACATCAGTGTGGGATGAAAACAGATGATTATTGGATTAATAACAGAACAGTGACTGACTCAAACTGCTCAGGATTTTGCAGAAACAGAGATAAAAATAACAACGTGAGTCACCTATAAATAATAGCAGCTCACATTGTGACATAGATGGATTCCTCTTCAGACTGGCAACATCCAACCTGCAGCATGTCTGTTTTTTACACCATGGGCGAACAAAAAACAGGATTATAGTATGCTGGTTAAAATGGAAACCTTAAAAAAAAAAAAAAAAAAAAAAGTTTTATCAACTCATAAAAGTAATGTAAAGCTATAATGATGTTGACTCTAATGTTTTCTGATTTTCAACATTTCAAAAGTCATCCATCATATTTTTGCATTTTAAACTCAACAAGATGCCAGCGATAGTGTTGGCACCTCCCCTCCGCAGCCCATTGCTGCACACTCTCCATTAGCTGCATGAAATAAAACTGCTGCATTTTCCCCTTTCTTACAACTAAGACAATTTAAGCCATGTGAAAATGTTTCCATTTTTGCAAAAAACGAAGTCATGATGTGAGCCATGAAGAGCAATCAGTGACTCACTCTGAGGTAGAGCTGCGGTCGTTGAGGAGCCAGCTGCAGGATTTATAGTCTGACTAGTTACCCATCTATTATCAGTTTATTGTTCTTATGGTCATGAAAGAACCTGTTACCGCCACCCTAGTGTATTGTAAAATATAACTTTATTTTTATTAAAAGGCTCAATATCGCACCTAGGGGTAAAGAATGGGAATGACGGGTGACACCAAAAAGAATTGCTTTATGGTTTAGTCGACTAAGTTTATTGACTTTTGTCACCGTAACTACAAATGAAGCTAACATTTGTAGTTATTTGTCAAAAATTATAACTAAAACTAAACAGAACAGTGCTGTCAAAATTAACACTGTTCTTTACTCATTCACTGCAGCCATTTATTAATGGTGCATTAATAAACCATCCGATTTTTCAGCTTCCCTCCAGCCAGTCACCAGTCAGGACTGATCAAACTAAAAATCGTCACAGCAGTCAGAAACTTAATTCTGCTCAAGTGTCTTCATCACAGGATCCGTTTGGGCCAAATTATCAAAACATGCTGCCTCAGAAAGGCCAAAGCAAGGCAGTCCAGGGTTCTGGACTCAAGCAGACTGACATCGGGGTGTTTTTTGGTCTCAAAAGGAGACAGACAATAAAAGTCAATAAAAGAGAAGCCAATGTCTTTGTGCTTCTCTTCAGAAAAAGATTGGAAAATAACCGAAACCCAAAGAACTACATGAGTGACTTTAAGAACCATGGAAAAACTGTTGACTTTAGAGATCTACCAAGAAAGTTCACTAGAGAAACCAGGAACATACATACATATATATATATATATATTATGATAGGCACAAGAAACCAAAAGAAGAAGAAGAAGAAGAAGAAAAGATCCCAACAAAATACATCATACTGTCATCAGTTGTGCTCATTCCTATTCATCCAGATTCTCAGTTTGATTTACATCTGGCCATGAATAGACTTTGACCTAAACCATTCAGTGGTCAGATGTTCAGGGTTGCTGTCCTGTGACAATCTCATGAAACGAAAAAAAAGTGCAACAAGCTGACAAAGTGTGCATACTTTTTCAAGGTATGTTTTTACTGTCCTGTAATTGGCTCAATCTATCTGCACTTTAACTCTTATCATTAAAGAGCCTCATGCTGCCAACCCAACATTTCATACTGGAGAGGTTGTGTTCATGATCTTAGTTTGCAAACAGCCTTTTCAATGTAGACCAGAAAGTTTCATTTTGGACTCATCAGACTTTTGTTGATTTCTCGTTCTCTTTCAAAAACAATTTTATTCTTGCTACTCTTCCAAAGAGCTTGCTCAAACTGAGCAGTGGATCTCTGCAGCTCCTCCAGAGTCATCATGAAGCTCCTGGCTGCTTTTATCCGATCTTCAGTTTGGTGGACCTGACGTTTTATGACATGCTCTTCCTATTTCAAAAGCTGGCATATTGTTTCAGAACACTTTTAATAACTAAGTGATAAAAACACAAAATCTCAATAAGTATATTTGGTCTAGTTTCTAGTTCAAATATCTTAGTACACTTGAAATAAGATAAAACTAACTTACAACTGACTTATCAGCACGATAAACAGTTTTATGGGAAAAATGTCTTGTTCCACTGACAGATCATTTCACATGTAACTAGTATTTTTCATCAGTGTTAAGGAATTATTATTTTAAGACAATGTCCTATCTTGCTGAAAAGTTAGCTGTAAGTTAGTTTTGTCTTAATTGACGTTTACTAAGATATTTGCACAGGAAACTAGATCAAAAATACTTGGTTACATTTTGTGTTTATGTTTGCAGTGCATTAGAATAAAAGTGGATGGATACAGACACCCAGTGCGCTTTTCAGATTTTCCTTTATAAAAGCGATTAGTAAACATACATAATTTTTAATTCTAATTCACATTTATGCTCTACCTTGTCTGCCACATCAAATCACAAATAAACACAATGAAGTTTCTGTAATATGACTAAATGTAAAAAGTTCAAGAGGTATTGATACATTTGCATGACTATTTTTTCAAAATTTCTTTGATACTATTTTGTAGTTCAATAACTATAAAGACTAAAACAAGGCTTTTTGTTAGACATAATGTCTATCAGCATAAATCAGTGCTCCTATAAATATTGCTCCTATTAAAGTAAACTCAGCTGCACTTCTTGAGCCATTCTGTGCTCAGAAACAGAGTCTGTCTGAAACCAAAGTGGCAGTCTCACAGAGCAGGCCAGCAGCCATTTATAGCTCCTTAATCCCTCAGATTAGCCCGGAGTAACAGACTTTTAGCCTCAGGGATTGACTTCACATGCCTTATTCTTTCCATCTGACTCTGAGGCCTCCGATCGATGCCGAGACCTTGTGCTGAAGTCACGTCGGAACACGAGGAAGGACAATGCAAATGTGTGCTGATATATCTTTTTAAAATGACCTGAAGCTGAGAGAGCATCCGGTGAGATGTGGCTGTTTGTGCGATGATGATGATGATGTACGGTGCACCTGTGACTGACAGGCTGTTTTATGTCTCTCAGCTAAAAGCACCTGTGGGCAAATTGGCAAACAGTGAGATTCACGGAGGGGTTACATTCTGTGCACCTGAATGCAGATGAGATTCTTTCCTCTCATCTTTCTCCAAATAACATTACAAAGGAGAGAGAAAACTGTGATTTCCTTGCATAATGACACAAAGTATAGAGAATTATTGTGAAGCAGAAGGTTAATGACACATGGGTCTTATTTTAAATCCCTTAAAAATGTGGCATGTGTATTCAACCATCTTTCTTCAGAGTCATATGATTACTAAATGCAGTCCATTTGTCCAGAAATCCAGCTAGTATGAGAAGGTATCAGATGTTTGTTGGAGAACACTGACGAACAAACAGCATCATGAAAACCAAGGAACACACGAGCCAGGTCAGAGATAAAGCTATGGAGAAGTTTGAAGCAGAGTTAGGCTATAAAGCTGCAGGATTGGAGTTAAATACAGGACAATTCCTTCATTTGTTGGAAATGTCCAGACCTAAATCTTATAGGTCTGGGTCACTCTGGCTCAAGAGCTGAACATCGCTATTCACAGATATTCTTCAATACTTTGATAAATCATCAGCTGTTAAGTAAAAGAAAAACCTAAAAGAAATCTTAAAGACTTGTATCTGTAACTCTAGTGGTAAACTTTTAAGTCTGTAATTTGAGAAAACAAAACAAAAACCTTTGACAACTTGGCTGTGCCTCTCTCATGTCTCATTCTAAGGGGTCAGATTAGGTTATCTATGTAGTTATACTGCTTAAGCTGCTGTAGACACTTTTCCTCACTTTCTTCTTCTACTGCTCTCCAAATGGGATTATTTGCTTTCTTTTAAAACTGTTAACTTCATGTTAGAAGCTACACCTGGTCTGGGGTTTTTGTTTGGCTGTGATACTTTTCTGGAGTCGGGCACCGAAACCATCAAACCAGGTTTGCAGAGGTTTTCCTCATATCTCCTCTGATTTAGTTGTATTTATCTAAGCATTTAGAACATGAAATATATCAACATGTGTGACTTTAGCAAAGTCAAATATTGTGAACTGATCTATCTGAAGCTCTGTTATCCTTTTTGAGATTTCCCAAAATGTTGCAAAAGAAAAAAAGCAAAACTCTACAACTGTCATCCTAATTTTAATAATCCATTTGTTCTTCCTTTATTTCTGCGCTGTTATGATGTCATAGGTCTCAGTTCATCCCTTAGATTTGGTTCTTAGTTTATTTCTGTGCCTCATTTCCTCACAGTTTGGTTTTCATTTATGTTCATATTTTTGTTACTTCCTTGCTGTTCATTCATTTAGATTTTGCTCATTGATTATTATTTATTGTGTATTTAGTATTATGTTCTTTAGATGTTTTTCTCTGTTAGTGTTTGTTAAAGTTTCAGGGCTTTCTCCCTCCCTCAGTTTGCCAGTATGCTTCTCTTCCCAGTTGTTTCTCATCTCCTCATTTCCTGTGCTGACCCTCTACAGCCTCTGATTAGGTCTTCATGTTTCTTTGTCTCCCTCAGTGTTTAACCTCCTCATTCACTTCACTCACTGAAGGACTCTACCGTTGTCGTACCGATGCCTCTGTGCAAATCTGCAAACCCCATAGATTTATACCCTGGTTTCCTCCAAGGCTTTGAATTTTGTTTTCATTAAAAACTTCATTAATTCACTCTCTCAAGTCTCTGCTCTTGGGTGCTTACACACAAAACCTTCCAAATATGACAATACTTTTGTTTTAACGAGTGGTTATTTGATCTCTTTTCTTGAAATCATCTCACCCAATTGGATATTTTCTCCTTTTCATATTGTTCTCTGTGAACTCCCTGGTAAGATTAAAACAGCTGTCTGAGGTAATCAGAAAGATGACCTTAGATAAAAAACAACAACCAACATGCCCAGGTTAGAGCATCCAAACAGATTCATCCACAAAGCAGACCGTAGGATGCTAAAAGGAGCCTCCAAAACTACAAAATATCAATACAGGAAAAAGACACAGACCAAGCTTCTGGAGTAATGTTCCTCGGATAGATTAATCTAAAAATAAAAGGGAATATGTTTAACATAAAACTATTCCATAAAAGAAATCTAATGTCAATTGTGAAGCACAGAGGTGGAAGTGTCATGGTTTGGGCATGTTTAGCTGCAGCAGGTCTTGGTCATCTAACCATAATTGAAACCGCCACAAGTTCTACAATGTGTCAGTGCATGCTTAAGAGAAATGCAAGAAGAGTAAAGCAGAAACACAACTTTGGTTGCAGATTGAGGTACAAAATGATTCAATATGCTGAAAATCCTGGCGTTAACAAAATAAACCACTAATCCTTCTTTGCATAGTTGCTCAAATCCTTCAAGAGGTAGCTCCAGAAATTATCAGCTGTAGAACCAGGAACCAGTGACAGGTCATGCTGCCCTGTATCCTTCCACATAGCCAACACCTTTCTGCTGTCTATCAGAACCTTGTAGTATTCTGTCTGTCACCTCTCAACACCACATGCTGTTTAAATCCATGTGGAAACTGACAGACGAACTACTCAGACAGTGTTCATGTGCACTCGCACATAAAAAGCTATTTACAGCTGGCAGAGGACAAGATGATGGGTGCAACACAAAAATCTTCCAATGCCAAACTGAATGAAGGCAGAAAGACAATGTGGTAAAATAAGATAATAATAATAAAAAAAAACTATTTTTAATTGGATGAAAAAAAATCAGCAGTACAACTCTTTGTTGACTGCAACGATGTTATTAATTAATGTTATTAATTATGCATCATGTAAACATGAAATGTTGCAGGATGGGACTGCACAGTATTAAACAACAAATCCCACCAAATTAAGTCCAGACATAAGGATTCTGAATGCATGGCTCTCGGATGATTATTTTACATTTCTTGCCATTGAAGTGGTTATCTGTGATGGACATACCATGAATTTGCTGCTCTGATGCACATTTGTTTTCTCGGCAGGCTGTGGGTTGATGAGGTTTGAAATGTGAGTGTGTTACACAATGAAGCTGGGCTTGTTAGGATCTGGGGTAACCTGAGTTTGTTTTTTTTTTGTCAGTTTTTGCGTTCCTCAGTTTTTTTTTAAAAATTAGTTCTGCCTTGTTTCCATTTTCACTTCAGTTCTTCCTGAGTGAATCTAGTCGTGTTTATTTATTGTTCTAGTCATTCTTTGCCACTCAAGTTTCATTATGTTTCTTTAGTTTAGTTATTCTACAGTGTTAGATTTATTTCATGCTCCTCTGTGTCCTCTCCCTCGCCCCCTGAGCCACTTTCTCTCTTCCTCAGTCTGCCTCCTGCTCCCTTCACTAACACTTGTAACCCGTTAGCTCATCAGCCTAGGACTTTTGCTCAGCATTCAACCTCCAGAGTATTTAAATACTTCATTCTCAGTCACTCCTTGCCGGTTCCTCTCATCTACTCCCATATTTTCCCTGTATCCTTCTCGTCTCTCCCTGCTGCATTGTTTCCTATGGATCTTTGTCTTTCTGCTTTGTTTACTTGTGATTTTTGTTTTTCCATAATTATTCATTAAACTATTCATCTTCAACGCCTCTGCCGCTCTGCATTTGGATCCATTATCAAACACACATCATGACAGTGCTGCTCCAAAATGATGCCTTTTCTGTCAGGAATCTACCGATCTCTCTCACCAAACAACAATAAACAAACTTGTTCCTGGATAAAGTGTGTGTTTTTCATGTGGTCATTAAAAATGGTGGTAATAAATGTTCTTGAACGTTCACAATACAAATACAAAACTAATGTAGGAAGCAGAGCAGCACCCTTTGACAATTAAGATCAAACTAAATTCCAGCTTTACTTTTTTGATTTAAATCCTTGAAAAATGCTGAATTAATGCTGTATCTTCCTACCTTATCTTTAACCTCACTCAATAATTACCTGTTTGCATCACTTCATTGCACAATGCTGTGTTACAGCCATCCTGACATAATCCAGATTACATGTCAGCGGAGAGCAGAGATTACCACACCATCATGAGTGATTTAGGCTTTATCACACTGATGAGACGCCGGTGTTTCTTCTCTGCTCAGAGGTGGTAAATTGCAGAGAGAGGCGACTGTCTGAGGGTTAAACCTCTACACTGAAGTGAGTTTGGCTCTGAATCCAAACATCACTTCCTGCTGCTCACAAGGATGAATTTATACGAACAGTTAATAAATTATACACACTTCCAATTTTCTGTGCTTTAAATAAACTTTTGAAAATAAAAACAAAAGTAAAGAATGATTTTGTTTCAAATATTTTCATGAAGTATTTAAATCAAGTTTGGGTTACAACTCTGATGCATAAATGTGTCTACTGTTTGTTTCTTGAGATCCTAATGTGACACGATCATAGTCTTTACGAAAATAAAACATTCTCCTTAAATTATACAATTTATTATCAGAGCTTCAGTATTAAGGTTTGATAATATTGAGCTCAATATGTGAGCTTAATATATAAGCTTATATATATGTATATGGCTTCAATGATGGGCCTCAGAAGATGGGATTAAACTTTAACTTCATGATTTTTCTGCAGTGTAACATTTTACATTTTTTGACATGAGCTAAAGAAAGTGGACTCCAACATTTACCTTTCTTTCCAAGCACTCATCTGCCATCCCTTAATCCTGATTTGCAACTGACTGAAACCCCAAATCAGTGAACCTGTGTTTTCTTTCTGTCTGCTCAAACTTCTCAAACACTAAACCAGCTGCAGCAGATGGAGGCCCAAATGCATCCTGCCGGTTTCTTCTTAATAAAAGAGAGTTATTGCTTTCCACTGTCACCACGTAAAAGATTGTGACTCCATGCAGTTGGCTGGATTTTCTTACATAATGTCATTATTGTAAACTGAATATGACCTCATAGCATTGTAACCTCGATCAAACTGAACTGTGTGCAGCTGAATTTGAATTTGTAGCACACCTGGAATGATTTGGCTGTATGTTTCCTAGTTCTAATAGAATTTTATAAAAATCTGTAAGTGAACATCAAGGTACTTGTGAATTAAACATTTGCGCAAAACAACTTAGTTTCTAACCACCCAAGTGATGAGAGATCCTCTTGATTTGGAATCGTAAAGGTCCAGCCCTATTATGAAATGTTGTCATGTTTCCATAATATAATAAACAGCAGAGTGGCAGCACACACGCGCGCGCTCACACACACACACACACACACACACACACACACACACACACACACACACACACACACACACACACACACACAGCTCTTGTTTTTCTGCTCCACCTGGGAGCTGTCTGCACTATCAGCTATAATTAGTAGATCACATCCCAGGCCACCTGTTACCTCAGAGCTGCAGGTGTGGTAAGGTGAGCTAGAGTTTAGTCTTGGAGGGAAACCTACTCAGATCTCAAAAAGCAGCAATAATTTAAACAAACAACGCACACTCATCATTACAGCAGGGAAACTTGCAGTACACAGAAACTGACGGTGAAGATCCACCTGCTCACTGTTGCAGACTGGTTCAAATGCTTCTAGTCTTACTGAAAGCTGTCGCTGTCCATGGTAGTAACCTTCCTCAAGAGAGGCAATAAGCATATAATCAGGCTCATAGCGGAGCAGCAGTTAAACCCCCGGTTTTCCTGAAAGCATTCCGGTTACTCACTCTCTGTGATCTTCTGCAGTCCCAGCACATCCTCTGGTGTTATAACTGTGTTCTTGCGCAGCTCTTCTTCGGTCCTAACCGGGATGCCCATGTCTGATGAGTTGCAGCCGTGCTGCACTTTCATGTCCAGCCGACGAGGATTGCAGCCGGGAACTGACCGAGGCTCTCTTCCTCTCGACGCGCAAACAGATTTACTTTGCGCCGGAAGCCTTCAGAGACGCGATGTCAGACAAGCTCTGCGCTGTTACCAGAATAACTCGTTCTCCATGCCTCCTCCTCCCCTTTCACGATCCAGTAGGAAATAAAAATCAGCTCTCTGCTCCCTCCCCGCCGCCTTCCCTCCCTCCCTCCCGCACGCCGGGCTCATCGGCTCTTTCACAAGCTATTTAATCCAAATCCCGTTTTAAAGCGAGCACGGTGCGCTGCTCCGCGGCTCTGCTCCACGGCTCTGCTCCACTTCACCACCAACACTGCCTGACGGGAGTCTTTTCTCTTAACAGAGGCCTGAAATGAAACGTCACAATATCCTCTGTTCTTCTAATGTTCACTCAAGTTCAATTTTTCCTTCCCGCCACTCCTTCCTTCCCGCCACTTACCCTTTCCCCTTGCGTAAAGGTTTAAAATATGTCAAAATAGAATAAAATTGGTACTTAATTGACACTGGCGACGGATGTATAATGAAATTTTTTAGCTTTATGTCATGCAACATAGTTATTCCCTCATCAAAAACACACCTGGGGTGTTGCTTTGATTCCTCACTGCGTGTTTGAGGAATCCTTGAATCTCCTGTTGCAGCCATTCAAGGCTGTCTAAACAAATTGCTCAGCTGAAATGCAGGAAAAACACCTGGTTAATTTGGAATTTATCATTTGGAGGCTTCGCATTCAAATTTTAAAAACTGCTTTTATTCACAGTTAATCTTTGGTAGTATAAAGTAAAAATATGAAAATAATTATACAATGTTTTGCTTTTGTAATGTATATATATTCCTTTGCAGTCAAATTATTCAAAAACATAAACACAGCTGTAACCAACACACTGATGAATTGTATCAACATAGCTCACAAAAGGACATCTTGGCCTCTGGCCTTTAAATACAAACTAAAAACAGTTAAGAAAAATGAAAAACAAAAAAACAAAACAAAAAAAACAACAAAACACACACACACACACACACACACACACACACACACACACACACAAAACAAACAAACACTAGTTTTGAGATATTTATTCATTTATTTAGTTTCCATTGGAAAGTTTTCAGATGCCAGCATCCCTGAGAAAATGTAAAATGCAAAACTTCGGGACAGCCCCAAACATGTGGGCAGAAACAAGCTGGAAAAAGGTTTTAGTTTCAAGCAATCGCAACCCTGCGCAGCTTTCTTCTTACCGTCCTCTGACTGTAAGACACTCGGGTTAATTCTTGGAGATGAGGAGATAGTGCCTCCCCCTGTCTTGCAAACTTACTGCAGTGCGGATCTGAGAGCTGTCCATGGTAGTGCTCTGTGATTAACGTTTTTTTTTTTTTTTTTTAAATGGTGGATCCTCAGAGAGGGGCAACGTACCCTACTGAACAAGCATCACTGACATCAGTTCAGCTTGGATAGCATAAGCAAGGAAGTAATCAAGGAACTTTAATCCAAAAAAAGTTCCTTGCATGCTATTAATACCCTATCAACCCCAATTCAGACACAGGACAAAATATTTTCTGTTTTTGCTGTCTTATGGGTGAATGTTCCTTCTGGGGTTTTCCTCACAGAGTGATTCACTGACCTTCATACTTTCAATTGTTTCACTGAACGCAATAGAAGAAACAAAACGTGTCTAATTGTCCTTTAGAAGAACCTCCACAGACAGATCTCAGCTTTCGCTGCATTTCTCCCGTTAACTCCCAGGCCGTCTCACTCGTCTAGGCTTTCAGCTCGAAGCAGCCCCGGCGGTGCGTCTGCATGTCTCGCACCCTGCGGATGGACTGGATCTGGGGGTGGTGGGCTCCCCAGTCGTTCCAGTGCTTGAAAGGTCCCAGTTCTAACACGTACTGGTAGCCACGGTAGCCGGGATACTGGTAACCCACCCACCTGCGTGAAGAAGCAAAGAGGAACAGATGCTACTTACGTTCATGTTTAAGTTTATGATTAATTTGGATGGATGTGTGTAATATGGTGCATTGGAAGATCAGTTTTGTACTTTGCACTTTTTAGTATCATTAAAACAACAAATTTGATTAATCATAGCATTTTATTGGGATTTTATATGACTGACCAACATGAAGGTTTGAATAAATGTGAATTTGAACGTAAATGATATATGGGTTTCAAAATGTTTTATAATTAAAAGTCTGAAAAATGTGATGTTACATTTAGACCTCTTAACTCTGAAAAATCCTTATTCAAGCTCAAAGCTTTCCTTTACAATTACCTAATTAATAAAGTAGAGTCCATCTGTGTGTAATCTGACGCCAGTATAACTTTGACTCAGATAGTCCTAAATACGCGTTCAATCATCTTTTTTTCAAATTCATGTAATTATTAAGCAAAGCTCACCTGTGTGTAATTTAATCTCTGTTTTAATCCAGTTTAGAAGAAACAGAACAGCTAATATCAACGGACAGATAAAGCTGTGGAGACGTTTAAAGTGGGTTTAGGTGACAAAACAAAATCTCAGATTGGAAAAGTATTGCAGATAAACCTACCAAGACAAGGCGGTGCACCAAAACAGACGGTGGGCTAGACTCTTTGTAAAACTTTAAAATTGTGAAGAATAGAAACCTACAAGTAATTTTCTGTTCATTTTACAATTATACACTAATTTCTTTGGCCCTTCTTTGCCAAATCCCTTTACTATGTATCAGGGCAAGAGCAAGTGCTAACATTAGGGCACAGATAACTAGTAACCGTAAACCAAATAGACAAAAGTAACATTAAGGAGAAGATCGATAACGGCTTACGTTCCACCGGTGACCTGGATGCTGCCAACACGGTCCTGGAAACCATAGGACCACAAGCTTGGGATATCTTCATCACACACTTCCATCTTACGGCCTTCAAAGTTTGCACATTCATAAAGACAAATCTTGTGGTCTTGTGGATCCTAAAAAAAAAAAATACATTCACCTTTCAGTGAGTTACCTCTTTGCTGTAGATATGTTTGATCCTTTAAATAGAAAGCAAGATTGTACATTTTAGAATATCACCTAATAAAAAAAAACATCTAAGTAAAAATAATCTCAAGCCTAAAAATAAACTCTTGAAAACATCTCATCAAAAGCACAATGCATCAAATAAAAGTTGGATAGATGAACAAGAAAAAGTGATGGTGCTGATGATGGGAACAGAGACGGATAAAAATAGGATGGTGACAACACACCATTCGAACAGGCCTGACTGACATCATGCGGTCGCACCGGTAGCTGTTGGACCAGGTATCCCAGCGGGGGTACTCGCCCTTCTCCAGCATGAACATCTCACCGGTCATGTTCTGCTGCTCGTAGCCAACCCAGCTGGATGGTCAGGAAGACAGGTATGTTAGCATGTGTTGGGGAAAATGTACACTTTGTTAGGAAGCATCTCAGCAAAGGACCAGCATGGTGGTTGATATGTAATGTCATGGTCTGAGTATTTCCAAAACTGTTGTCTATTATGATTTTTACGCACAACCAGACGGCAGAGGAGAACGAGCAGACTTTCTTAAGGTGACAGGAAACCAACATTAGATGAAATAACCAGCTGTGGCAATAACTGAATATGTAACTACACATTGAACCCTTATGCAGATGGACTAAAGACCAAACCTGCATCACTCATGTCGTCCAAGAACTAGAAATGTGTTTGGTCTTCCTCATAAAACCCTTTGTAAATTACAACTGGTCCAAAAATTCAGCAGGCTGTATCATCACATGAAGCCATTAATCACACCTATTCTACATCTATGCTCCATTGGCGTCCCATTAACATTAACGGTAACACTTTATTTGAAGGGGGTTGAATAAGACTGTCATGACACTGTC